AACAAAAAAGTAACTTATTTCCCAATTTAAAAAAAATCATTTTGTGTTTAGAGTGTTGTGTCATTCTCCACATTTCTACAAAACAGGATTTGTTCTTTCATAAAACTGCAGGGTTCAACCCAGGTCATATGAGAACCAGAGTAAATGTTTATGATCGGAGGTTAGACGGTAATGACAGTTTGCAGGCATGGTTTATTTTCCCAGTAGATTGTCAATGCGAGTTAGTATATTATGGGAATGGTTATTGTTCAATTAACGACAAACAGGTGCCATGGATGGTGAAGTATCGACTTGAAAATTCCAATATTAAAAGAGAGGTTACGTATTGTAAAATGAAGGGGTATCTGAAGTATTCTACGGGTGACATGCCAGAAAATTCGCAAATGAGGGCCCCCTCTATTGTTGTGTTATCTAAAAAATATACTAATGATAATGTTGATGTCTAGCATTGTCCTCCAACGAAGGCCATTCCGATTCTGACACGGACTAAGTCTGTTGGTTTACTGGAGAGGCGAAGAGATTTGTTGTTAGGAGGTTTTGGGGAAAGTGGTTCAGCTATTCATGAACGCAGAGGTCGTCTGAGTTTGTCAGAGATTGATGTACGCAAAGGTGGTGATGACACTAGTGATGTTGATCCTGGTCCATCGATTTCAAAGGTTGGTGTTAGCAAAGAGGAAGTTGATCGTAGAGGATCAGTTGTTATGGATGCAGCAGAATTTTCTAATGTTTTACGAAATGTAATCATCAGTGTAAAAAATAATGATGTGACTCAAGATGTTATAGTTGATGATAAGGGAAATGTAGTAAGTAAATAAAATTTTGAGTGGTTTCATAAATAAAATTAATAAAATTTTTCATTAATCATGACAGTGGTTACATTAACATCAAACCATTCTCTCATTTTTGGGGACATTGCATCTAGCCAACTACTGTCCCCATTTTGTTAATAAAAATACAAGGAATTCCTCCTCTAATAGTGAGATCTGGTTGGAACTTAACAAATACATGGAAATCTCTCTGGCAGCCTACTAAATTCTTCATTAATTCGGTAGGGACTGTCGAGTATTTGATGTCGTCTATCACGTTGTAGACGGCGTCTTGGTCATAGTCCTTGAAGCTTATTCTGCGGAGAAGTAATTGTGTCGTCCGAGGCTTCTGGCCCAAGCGGTTTTGCCTGTTCTTGAGGGTCCTTCGAGGTAGAGGGAGATTGGGCGGATGGGCCCTGCTCTGGTTCCTGTTATCAGAGGAGGAGGGGAGTTCTTCGTTAGTATATAAATTTTTATATTATTTTTTGTGTATCCCTAATCTAAGGAAATCGTCTTCTCTCCAAACGGAGAGACAACAATTTTGACATAACTCGTACTGAACGCAATTTCGACTTACAAACAAAATATTATTTTCTGCCCATTTTTTTACTTCTTCATTTAAGAAAGGAAATGAATTAAAAGGGCTAGTATATGGAGGCCTCTCTCTTTTGTAATGATCCCTGAAAAATGTTTTTAAATTGGGGGTATTTTGTAACGTAATCGGTGGGACATCTTTCTTTACATAGAGACGACAAAGAATCTGTTCCTCCGTTTCTGCTTCGCCAAGTATTCCCCTTTAGAGTTCGTCTCTGTTTTTCGAAGGACTTCTCCCCTTAGATGAAAATTCTCCCCATTCGACGAACTCGCCCCCTTTCTGTATCTACTGTCGACTTGCTGTTGGCGAGTGGAGTTTCTCTATATTTGGATGGAAGATCCTCCCATTGGTTCCAGTGAGATCGAAAAATCTCGGGTTGGAGGTTTGGATCTTCTTCGTGCATTGAACCATGGCATGAAGGTGAGGGTTTCCATCTTCATGGAGCTCCCTTGCGACAAGTATGTAGTATGGCTGACAGGCTAGTTGGAGGAGAGATTGGAGGAGTTCTAAGAGTTGTTCTTTTGGGCATGGGCATTGTGGGTAGGTGAGGAAGACATTCTTGGCATAAAAACGGAGATTCGGAATTTAAAATTTGAATTCCCGCCCATTACTGTTCATTCACGCGGAATTCTGTGCACCTTTGCTTTATCTCCAAGCAAAACCACCACGATCGTGACACGTGGGTGGACAGGATCCGGCCACGTCTACTCACACCACTCACACCAAATAGTGATTACTATTTGGTGTGAGTACGGATTTAATCTCCACCTTACACGTCACCATCCGTATGTCCATCGACGGATGAAATTGCCTATCGGATACAATTTCAACAGTGGGGGGCGCAAACAAATGCAAACTTGATAAATTATTTTGAGTCATGAAAACTCACGGATGAGTCTATTCAAGTTGGGGAGGATGAAGCAAGCGTAATTCTAGGAATTTTATATTTTTATATTTTTTTTAAGTATTTAACTAGGAATCTTATTATTTAATATGGAATAATCTAGAATATTAGGTTTTCTAATTGGTTTGTTTTATATTTCCTATTTTAGTTATTTCTTGGTCTAGAATTGTTAGGGTTGTTACAATTGTTATCATCATAAGGGGTGTTTTGGAAAGATGATTAAAAGCTGACTTTTTGACTTTTTTTTTTACTTTTTAGCCTTTTGTTTTGTGAGAGAGGAAATGGGTTAAAAGCTGGGAAGTAGGTTAAAAGCTGGAAAGTGACTTTTAACCTACTTTCCAAAATAGGCTTAAATAAGATTGAAAGCCATATATGACTAGAGGTAGTGTTTTGATTATTAATAAAATTTAAGAAAGAGGGTTTCTCTTCTTTTCGGTTTGTTCATGATTATTCTTGTTGCAACATTCTTGGTTTTACATGCATCCCTGCATCACTAAACCAAGAGGCAAGGCTTAAGCATTTTGAAGTCTTTACCAACCACAGCAAGACTCTAGGATCTTGTGGCTTGGTGGCTTGAAACAGAGATGTTGCTCAGAGTGATACTTTTGTGGGTGTCATTGTCTTGGTCCAGCCCTATTGAGAGAGAGACCACACCACTTGATTTACATATGGAACTCAAGAATCAAGATAAATCTTAACAAAATGATACGCTTTGGCTTATGCTAACAAAATTCTAAAATATTCAAGAAGTTTGTTACAGGGCATGTGACCTATATCTTCTATAAATAGACGGTGGTGCCCCCCCTTACAACACAATATTCTACACCCAGTGCTCTTAAGGGGTCATCCCCAAGTCCCAAACCGAACCTCTATACTTATAGTACTCTATTGCCCGTCTCTCCCTCTGGACTGGGTTGCTCTATCTCTCACCAGGAGATCCCCAATGCCTAGGAATGGCAACGGGGCAGGGCCGGGGCCGGGGATCACCCTCCCCGTCCCCAATCCCTGAAGACCAGAAAATCCCTGTCCCCGCCCCTGATCCCCGACGGGGACACCATCAACCCCCCCGCCCCCGCTCTCTAACGGGGATCAGGTTTCCCCGACCCCGAAAAATCCCCGACCTGTTTTTGTTTTTGTTTTTTTTTTTTAATTTTGTTCAACACAGAAACACAACAATTTTTTTTTTTAAATCTGCTTCTTCATGATCATCAACAATCATCATCAACTTAAAAATAAAAAACTTAAAAAAAAATAATCTGAAACACAAACACACACACAAACATATCTATCATCATCTTCATCATCAACAACTTGAAAAATAAATAAACAAATCCGAGTGATGATGAACAGGTGATCAACAACAACTTGAAAAAAAAAAAAAACAAAAAACAGATCTGAGTGATGAAGTGGTGCTGCGACGGAGGAGGGAGTGCTTAAGCCGTATGCCGTCGTCTAGGTCAAACACCGGAGCTGCGACGGAAGCCGGATAGAAGTGGTGCTGCGACGGAGGAGGGAGTGATGTCGAAATCTGCGGCGGAGGACGGGCAGAGGCTGTGTTGTTCAGATCTGCGGCAGAGGATGTGGTGGTGGAGGATCGACGAACTGAGGCCGAACAGAGCTGCCGTGGCCATTCTTAGGGCTGTGGTTGCGGGGGTTCTGCAAGGAGAGAGAGGAGCCGCCGTGAGTGAGGGAGAGAGAGACGATGGCGATGTGATCCGTGGAGGAGGAGGAGAGATGTGAGGAATGGAGAGAGAGAGAGAGAGTAGATCTACTTTATGAGAGAGAGAGGAGATGGAGATGAAATCAAAAAAAGTCTAAATGAATAAATATATATATTTAAATGAATAAAAGATAGGGATGACCGGGGATATATAATATGTATAATATATATCATTCGGGGGGACCAACGGGCCGGGGCGGGCCGGGACTGAAACATGTGTCCCCATCCCCGGCCCGAATATCATCGGGGGATTTTTTTTTTATCACCATCCCCGGCCCGTCGGGAGTATTTTTCGGGGAATAACCATTATATTCGAGATCAGGGGGTCGGGTCCCCATCGGGCCGATTTCAGATTGCCATCCCTACCAATGCCTCTGACGTTAACCCCTGACCCCCAGTCAGTACTACCTACATTAGCCACATGCATAATTCAAACTAGAAATCAAACTAAAAGAGAGAATAAAAAATAGATAGCTACAATAGCCACATGCATAATGCAAACAAGAAATCAAACTCATAGAGCAAATGAAAATAGATTTCCACTAAACAAGCTTTGTTTCAAATTTGCAAAAGTATTATATACAACACTATGGTGAAATCTAGAGTCCATCTTAAATAGAATGACACAGCCACAACTAAGAAATGTTCTCACTTACAAAAATTCAATTATCAAGAAGTCATCTAAATTAATATGTTCTTTAATCTTTTGAAGAGAGAGAGAGAGAGAGAGAGCAAAGGAGGGAGGCCGGTCTACTAGCAAAGTCATATGCTACTAGTCATTACCATAGGAAATCCCAGCAAAACAAGATATAACAATCATGCCAATTCCCAAACAAAATTTCTTACCTAAAACTACAAAAGCACACGATCACAAGGGGCCTAAAACTACACATGCAAACAATCACAGGGGGCATATGAAGCAATTTAACCAAAAATCAAAATCATAAATTCCGAAACTAAGGGATGGTAACAAACCATTTGCATGCCAAGAACTCGATACTTCTCGAAAGCCTCGGGGGTTATGTACTCAGATACTGGCATATGGCGCTTTGATGGTCTCATATACTGACCAAAAGTCATCACATCGACACCTGCTTCCCTCACCTTCTCCATTGTTCTCACCACTTGTTCAGGTGTTTCCCCACACCCCAACATTACTGAAGTTTTGGTAAGTGTACCAGCAGGAGCATAGTCCTTGGCCATCATTAAAACATCAATGGATTGCTTAAAATTAGCACGGTGATCTCGTACTGCACTCTGAAGCTCCTCAACTGTTTCAATGTTATGAGCCAAAACATCTAATCCTGATTTTGCAACTTTCTCCACACAGCCAGGTTCTCCTCGAAAATCAGGAACTGCACAATAAAAATCATACCAGCAACATTAACAAAAGGAAGCAAAATATTTTCCATACCGGATTTACATCTGAACAACAGAATTTCACCTTTTCTTATCCACTTCGATATAATGTAGCACAATTGTGTTCACATGGATCTAAGCTCTAAAAATCATTGTAAGTATATGTAAAGCCTGACATTACTTGCAGAAAATGTTCAAGATACCACCATTGAGCTTTCGTCTACACTCTGAAGTCTGAATTAAAAAGTGTATGTCTGGCAGCTCAACTGGGCAAAGTAATCTATGGGCATGTCCAGCCTATTAGCAAGGTCTTTCTACCCTATTTTCTGTAAATGTATTAACGGCTCGATAAACTTACAAGTTGCTGTATTGATCCAGTAGACTTTGCTAGTGGAATAGCATATACCACTCATGTTTTCATAATATGCAGTATTTGCTGTGCTCTCACAGCCTATGTGTAGGATGCAAACCAAATTAAATTTATTGTCAAATTTTCTAAATCCAGTTGTCGCAACTGAAGATGATTCACTTCAGAAATCGATGGTAACAACCATTAATCCACACACTGTAAGAACACAATGATACATACCCAATGCCTCAATCAACATATTTGGCTTCAACTTCTTTAACTTCTGCACTGTCTCAGCAAAATGGCCACTTCCTTGATCATGTAAATCATCACGATCGACACTAGTAATCACCACATAATCCAAACCCCATGATGCAATTGCCTCAGCTACGTTGGACGGTTCGTTTGGATCTGGAGGAGGGGGAGTACGTGATGTCTTCACATTGCAGAATCTGAAACATTTTAAATCTCTTAACCATATAAATATAACATGAATCATAAATGGAAGAAATCTAATGTTTCATATATAGTTGTACATGAACAACATTCGTCATTATGAAAAACAACCTGTAATATAGAAATTGAAAATCAAATTCAACGAATATGAAAAATCACCTGCAACCTCTGGTACAAGTATCTCCGAGAATCATAATCGTGGCGGTGGCGGTGCCAGTTTCGCCGCCGGACCAACATTCACCCAAATTAGGGCAGCGAGCCTCTTCGCAGACGGTGTGGAGCTTCAATTCCCTCAATTTACTCTTGATTTGAGTGTACTTTTCTCCGCCGGGGATGGACTCCCTCATCCATTTGGGCTTGGGGAGGGGCTTCTTCTTGGTGCCGACCTCGACGGAGTAGTCGTCGGTGGATTGGAGGCGGATGAAGTCAGTGAGAGTGGGGGACTCGGCGGCGAGGCGGTGGCGGAGTCCCTCTAGGGTTTGGGGGTAGCGAGGCTTGGGAGGATCGACGGAGGGTGAGGAAGAGAAGGAGCGAGGAGAGAGAAAGGTGGAGAGAGAGAGGAGAGAGGGGTGGTGAAGGTGGTGGTGGTTGTTGTTGTTGGATTTGAGGGAACGAGCGAGGGATGTGAAGCGAGAATGCATTCTCTGTCTCTCTCTCTCTCTCTCTCTCTCAATATCTGCTTTCTCTCTCTACAATTGCAGATGAATTAGAGAGAGAAACTTCAACAATCGGGGATTTCTCTCTCTAGGTCGTTGGTTTTGGTGTTAGCGCAACGCAACGTCAGGGACCGAGTCGAACTCGGTTCAACAACCTTATACTGAGTCAAACTCGGAAACCTGCCCTGAGTTACAAACTTGATATATTAAGCTGTGTTACGTGTTCCAAATATATTTTTCATTTTAGTGTTGTGTTTGTTTTAAATTTTTAAATTATAATTTCATATCTATTTTTGAAAATTCTTTTTCAGGTGAAAAAATTTAGCTAATCCAATCGTCCTTCCAAATGTCTCCCTAGACATTCGATTGATTAACTGGAATAGTGTTCAAATATTTTTTTTCATGGGCACTTGTTATTTTTATATTTTAAATAAAAAATATTTTTAGAATTTTTTTAATTTTTATATGAGTTTTGAATAGAATTTTTGGTTGTGTGTTTGGTTATGAATTGTAAATTTTTTAATCAAATAACTTTTCTAATTTCAAAAACTCAAAACTTCCTCCAAACCCAATTCAAAACTCTTTTCAAAACTCATAATAAAACAAATTTTCCACATTCAAATCATAATTCTAAAACTCACAAACTCAAAATACAACTCTATTTTCAAATCATATTTAAAAAATTCTACCAAACGCTACCTTATTTTATTTTATTTTTTTTGAGGGGGGATTATTATGAATTAATTAGTTAATTTTTAATTTTTTTTAATAAAAACATAAGAAAAAATAGAGAGGATAATTGATTTTTTTATGAGAGTCGCTAAATGTTTCTACTTTTTTTCTTTAAACCTCTTATTTCTTTGGTTCCCTACCATCCAAAATTACATTTTACCTATTTTTCTTTATACCCCCACCATATTCTCAATCTTACACGTCACCTCTTTACACCCACATTCTTCTCCTTCTCTTTTTCTCCGGCAACCTTCTTCTTTATCTTCAACCACCCTTTTATTCGTTTCTATAGCTTCCATTAAACCCAAAAACACCACTATCCCGCTGCTATCAATGATGCAAAACCCTAGATTTCAAGTAGCATTGGGAGGGTTGGGAGTCTTCTTCTTTTTTCCTCAAAACTCTAGATTTGAAAGTGGAAATCGCAATGGTAGTGGGCTGCAACGGTGGTGACAGTGATGACTAGGTGATCATGATGGTAATTGGTCAGCAATCTCTCTATCTCTTCTTCTTCTTTTTATTCTTCTTTACAACTCTCTCTCTCTCTCTTTCTCTCTCTCTCTCTCTCTCTCTCTCATTCACTCACTGACCCTCACTCTCTGCGATGATGATGGCGGCTGTAACACATGCCTTCGTGATTAACTGTTACGTCTGTGGCTTACCTTAATTATGTGCTTACATGTGACTGTTCTGTTTTATATGTTTCTATGTGTGGGTTAATTGTGAGCCATGTGCTAATTGAATTATATTTTGTTTAAAAAATAAGAGAAAATAAGAACTAGACCTGTCTGATTCGTAAACTTTTAAGGTCACAAATTGAATATTGACCTAGGTGATTAGAGTCTGATTCACTTTTATAAGTTTAACTTGGGTTGAGCTGGATTAACTCTGTAACACCCCTGTTCCGTAATATGTTAATTGGTCCCTAATACGTATGTGACTATATGTTTTGATATGATTTTTGTGTGCCATTATGTGAATATATGCGACTTTGGAATTCTACCTGTTCATCGTAGGAATATCTGTTTGAATAATCTGCTCTGGAAATTAAATTGAGGGCCTTATCGGCCACAGAACCCGAAATTGATTACGCCATTGTGATTGGCATAATTTTTAGAGCCTACGGTGAAATTTAATTAGAAATTGATCCTGGTCAGATTAAACTGATTAAATTGATGAATTAAGTGCCCAAATATTTTATATTAAATTATTATATTAGTGGGGCTTATTGTATGATAGCATTACACTCCCCTTTAACTCTTATGAACTCAAGAATCTGAGGGATTCAATTGTGAGAGAGTGAGGGCCGGCCTTAGTGAGAGAAAGGGAGAGAAATTGTGCAATTTGGCTTAAAGCTTGGAAATTTTGGGGATTTAGCTCAAGAATTGACTAGAGCTTAGAAGATCAAAGCTTCTAGGTGAGTAATTCTTGGATTATAGTTCGTAATTTTGTGTGTTCAAGCTAATTTGGTGATCAAGAATAAGATTGAAATGAAATTGTGTTGGAATTGTTGAATTGAAGCTTAATATGTGCATGCATGTAAGAAATTACTTTGAAATTGCATGTTTGAGCACAAATGTGTGTAATCCATATGTAATGTTAAAGGAAACTCATGTTTTGATCACCATTTGTGTTATCTAAGTTGAGAATGATGAGCATCTCCCACATGCATGTACAAATCATGGGAGTATAAGTCTTGAATGTTTGAATTTGAGCATGTTGATGATGGGTTTGAGACAATTTGGGACATGCATGTAGATAATTCATGTAATTGAGCTTCCTAATGTTGTAATCTGCAATAGTAGCATGTTAGCATGTGTAAATGTGTAATTTGAGCCATTGCATGCAAGTAATGTAGCTGAAAAACCGATTTGGAGCTCAAGAACACAATATGGGAAACCCAGAATTTTGATGTCCGCTCGAGCGGGGTAATGGCCGCTCGAGCGGGAAAATCGTGCTCCCAGCACTTTTTGCAGACATGGTTCCCGCTCGAGCGGGGAAGTTGACGCTCGAGCGGGGACATTTTTCATTGCAACCAGTTACTTCGTAAGACCTAAGGGTCGCATCGAGCCGGCGGAAGTCCACGCTCGAGCGGGGACCCTATTTTCTGAAATCCTGTTTTTGCATTTTGTGTTCTGTTTTCCGTTCTCTTTCACTTGCAAGCACTCTTAGGCATATGTTAAGGCATTTTAAATGAGTTAATGAGATGATAATAAAGCCTAAAGAGGAATATGTGAATTAAAGAACGGATTGAACTATTAATGACCCTTTTGTGCTCATGAAACGTGTAGGGTCAAGCTCCAGGGCAAATCCAACAAGCCGATCACTGTGAGTAATATCGATATTTGAATGCTTGTAAATGTCCAATTGTTTACTCCCTTTTGAAGCTTTATGAATTTCTAATTGCGATTGTGGGATTGCGGACATAAGTCTGATATGAACGCATAAATGAACCCAAGGTCGTTTCGATAAGCATAAATGGGGCCAAAAAGGCCGTTTTGAAATGAATGAGTGGGCCAAAGGCCGTTTTGAAATGAATGAGTGGGCCAAAGGCCGTTTTGAAATGGATGAGTGGGCCAAAGGCCGTTTTGAAAATGAATGAGTGGGCCAAAGGCCGTTTTGGAATGAACTGAGTGGACCGAAGGTCGTTTGACATATATGAATGGACTAAGTCCGTTTCGACGTAACGAATTGGACCCGAAAGGTCGTTTCGATATGAATTTAAATGGACCGAAGGTCGTTTTGATAGAAATAAATGGAACTAAAGGGCTCCTTTGTTTTGACATGAATGAGCTGGCCGAAGGCCGTTTTTGACACGCAATGTATGGGCCGAAGGCGTGTTTTGACGTGAACAAATATGGACCGAAGGGCCATTTGACATAAATGAACGGGCCGAAGGCCGTTCTGACATAAATGAATGGGCTGTTAGACACTCCATTATTTGACCGACGCTTAAGAACTCCAGTATGTCCACTGATTGAGCCTTGGTGATACTGCTTAATGTGGGCTCGTTCAAAAGTCAGAGTTGCGGCCGTGAGCCCTGCTCCGGACTCCGGAACCCTCTTCGGTCCTTGTCTCGGTTTGCGAAGCAACTGCGTTTTCTCTTGTTTCTTTTTCCTGAGGGGAGGGAGAGGTCCAGTAAGACCATCTTCTCAATGTCCACAGGCCTACATTTCGTGGCCGTAGGCCATTTTGCCCATTTCGGAGTCCCGGTTTCCGGTTTTCGAAGCCGTCAGGCCGTGTGCACTCGAAGTTCGGGTCCGCTATAACCATCTCCTATGCTCCGTTTTTTGGCATACTTCGCATTTCTCCCTTTTGAGGACACTGGGGTCTGAGAAACCACTTCCTGTCGAATGCCACTTTCGGTGCTTAACAGCCCATTTTCGGACGCCGCGAAACTGCGTGTTTTGGCCCCCGAACATATCGTTTGCATCGATTTTCATTTGTTTTGGCAGGTACCTCTGTTCATCCACTGAGGAAGGTCATGGAAGGGTGGGAGGCCAAAGCAATTTGTTTTCAACAACCCAGTTTCTTTACGTCCTCCGGCGAGCGATCTCTGACAACCGTTTTTCTTCGCACTTCCAGGCCAAATGTTGAACACCTTGGAGCCATTTTCTTCCAAACCCAACCACAATATTTGTGATGTACACAACATGGGAAGGACGCCTAAACAGATTCATGGCCGGCCACTTAATGCTTCTTGACGCCTTTTGAACCCTCCTTCCGAGCCAATGTTGAACACCTTGGGCCACTTTCTTGAAATTTGAACGCAACAATTTGTGATGTACACACATGGAAGACCCTAAAAGTTTTATGGCGGCCACTAATGCTTCTTGACCCTTTTGAACCCCTCCTTCCGGAGCAATGTTGAACACCCTTTGGGCACTTCTTGAACTTTGAACACCACACATTTGTGTTGTACACACATGGGAGGACCCCTAAAAGTTTTATGGCCGGCATTAATTCCATTTGAACGCTTTTGAACCCTGCTTAAAATTGGCTGTCTCTCTCCTGTTTTAGGAATTTCATTCGAACCATCAGGTTGTGAAGAGGAGAGCCTGTGGAGGCCACCAATATGTTGGTGGCCGGCCACCTAATTTCAAGTTTGACCTTTGACCCCTAGTTGGCCGGCTAGGGGGTTTGGCGCGGCGGCCACCTCAGCAAAAGTAAGGGGCCGCGCCATGTTCCTCATCTTGGTACTTTACAGCTGTGCAGCTGTTTGTCCCCAGAAAAATATCCCAAATCCGGGGGAATAT